ACATATACGTATATATGTTAAATACTGTTATCTCTATTTTACAGATGAGGAATCTGATGTGCAAAAGCTAAGTGACTTGTACATGGTCTCAAATCTAGGACATAGTTCTTTGTATCAATTCACTGTTATTTATTCCATCTCTTAGTTCCACTCTTCTGCTAAAGGAGCCCTTTGATAGTTTTCTCTTGTTTACTTGCTTTCTTCCATCTTTTTTTTTTTTTTTTTTGTACCGGGAATTGAACACAGAGCCTTGCATTTGCCAGGCAGGCGCTGCACTGCTGAGCTCCATCCCCGGCCCACTTTCTTCCATCTTTAAACTTTCCTGGAATTGATATCCTTGTGCTGTCTAGTATATATCCTGGCAAAATTTTGTGAGTATTTTCTATAGGGCTAAATTCTAATCATTAGATTGCTGGATTTTTTTCTATTTTGTTTTGGGACCTTTTGGGGTCTTGTACTGCATCTTTCAGGGTAGAGAAGCCCAAGGGCTCTATAAAACTGAAGCTTGATATCATTGTATTAGACCATATTGTTTCTTTTAAAAAAGGAGATATGAGCTGGGGATTTAGCTCAGTGGTTCCACCACCTGCCTCGCAAGCACAAGGACCTGAGTTCGATCCCTGGTACCAAAGACAAAAAGCAAAACAAAAAAAAAGGAGATATGATTTTATAAGCCTTGGATAAAAAGCCTTTCACAGATGGATTATAGGAGGAAGGAAGGCTACTTTCATTGATGCTGCTATTTATCCAAGCAGAGAATAATAATATATATACTGATGGTCTCTTTTCAGAACTGGTGGAGTCTCTTTCATTGCAGGGATCTTATGCTGGAAAAATCCATTCTATTGGTGATGCCTTCAGAAATTTTAAAAATCTCCGATCCTTAGATTTATCAAGAAATTTGATCACTAGCCTAAAGGTAAGTTCTATATGCTATGACCAGCCAGGTCAGCCCAACTTATTTTTTGGTGGGAATAAATAAGAGCTAGATAATGTCAGCCTGGGGAGTATAGGATTTTCCTTTTAAATGTCCTCTAAACTAAATTTTATTATTCACTATAAAACTCTTTCAATTTTGCTTTATGTTTAAAATTATTTTTTATATAATACTGGGTAAAATTTCTTTTGCACTCAGAGAAAACTATATTAAACTTTCATTGCCTAGGGCAATAGTATAAATTTCAATGTGCATAAAAATTTATGAAGTTGGGCATAGTGGCACATACCTCTGCAGTAGAAACCCAAATGCTTCTTCCATATGTTTCTATTTTGCCCTAGTTAACTGGCAAAACCATTCTGTGGAAGACCAGAGGTAACAAAGACTCAGATGCTATCCGAAATTAGTTAATCTCCCAGATTCTGCACTTCTTAGATGATACCTGTTCAGCCAGACCCAATCTCAAGGTCTAACTAAGGGCTTTAAAAGAAGCCCAAGTGAGATCAAATTTCTAAAAATCTAAAAGCAGCAACTCCAAGTTGAACTAGGTATTTAGACTAATTTATATTTTTCCTCTTAGTTTCAGGAAGGATTATTTCAGAGTTGCTGAGGTCTTCTGTTTTCATATGTGCATCTGTTTGTTTATTTGTTCATTTCTATGCTAAAAATTAAGTACACATTGCTGTAATTTTTTTCTGGTACTAGAGATTAAACTCATGGTCTTCACACTGAGCTACCCAACCCTTTCTCATTTTTTATTTTGAGATGGGGTCTCACTAAGTTGCTAAATTGCTCAGGCTGGACTCAAACTTTCAGTCCTCCTACCTCAGCTTCCCAGAATGCTGGGTTACAGGTGTATGGCACCATGCCTGGCTTATAATTTGTTTTTAGTCTCTTTTTTTCCACTTCCATGACTTGGGCAAAAAATGTACTGAAGATTAAGCAAAGTAACATATATACCAAACATGATATGTATGAAACTCCTGGTACACTACTTGGCATATAGAAAGCACTTGGTAAATGTTAGTTTTCTATATTTTTTGCATTTATGATTTACCTGCTTATATTCATCTCTAGCAGGTCTGAATTAATTTGCTCAATTTTTCAGAGAAAATGTTTTATAATTCTTTTTAGTGTAATGTCAGAGAATACATGAATCTGTGCCAGTTGGGAAAAGTGAGAGAATATATGTAGTTTCCTTGATTTTTACACTGAGAGATATTAAAAGATTACTTGAACTGGAACATTAGACGCATTAAAAACAGTCCCAGTGGACACTGATAACTATTTCTAACAACTGACCCTTTAATGATATAAAAGTTACTGGAATTCAATGAAAAAGAAAGAGCGAGAGAAAGGGAAAGAAAGGAAGTAAAGGAGGCATCAAAACAAAAAGGGCTCTTCTTGAAATATTTTAGTTTCCTAAATTTCCTGTGATAAGAAAATTGTAATTTTATTTTATTTTATTTTTAGAAAACGGTAATTTTAAATGAGAGGCAAAGAAAAACATAATTTTATAAACAACATAATGAAAATAATTTCACCTTTTTGAAGTAATCCTCAATGACAGAATTGTTTTTATGGCAAGCATTTTAATTACTAAAAGTGTGTGATTATACATTTTTGTGTGTTTTGGAATATTATCCTGAAATTTAGTACTGGGCAAAAGCAGCTAACTAGCTAATTACATGCAAATTAAATAATCTTTTTCATTAGCTGATTTTAGCAGAGCAGAAGAATTGTGCCTTTTTCTCTGTTTGAGTTTCCTAGTCTTGACGGTATTGTTGCCAGTCAAGTAGAGGGGTGGAGGTGCTAAATCCACAGAAAATACTGGACAAGGAAGAACATTTCTACCAAGGAGAACTGATTGACTGGAGGATGGGGAGCTTTCATGGTGGCAGTAACTCTGAAAAGGGAAATGAGGACAAGAGGAGTTCTAGGAAGGAAGACTGGGAAATAGTGTTTTGTTTCTCCAAATAGTACATTGACCCTATGAGGCATTAAGATATAAGATAACATACACACACACACACAGATGCATGCATACACATACACACACAGAGCAACTTGGGCTTTTTGTTTGTTTGTTTGTTTGTTTTTGGTACCGGGGATCAAAATTGGGTCCTTGCGCTTGCGAGGCAGTGGTTCAGTGGAACCACTGAACTAAATCCCCAGCCCAAGCAACTTGTTTTTTAATCTGCCCTTCAGAATTTTTGCCTACCTCCCTTCATTTTGTAAATTGAGATTCTTATGGAATCAGGAGAGTGGTTGAGGCAAAGTTGAAAAATATCCAATGTGGCTTGCCCTGGCTACCATTGGGCAGGATTAGAATGACTGGGGAGCCAATAGATATAGAAAATTGATTACAGACATTTGAATGTCAGATTTGGTAAGGGAGATATATTATATAGGTTAATTATTTAACATATAGAAAATCCAGTGCCTTTGTGCTGCAGTGCTCTTATTTTAAGGCAACTGAATGGGAGTTCCAAAACTGCCTTTCTCATGGGGGACACAAATAACATGTTTAAGGATGGAGAGTAATAGATATATTTCTATCTTTATTGTGAGATTCCTACCAATGTACAGTTTCATAATGCGGTCTTTTCCTTGCAGGGCATCCAGTATTTGTGTTCACTGCAACACCTGAATTTATATTATAACAACATTCCTTCATTAGTAGAGGTATCCTGCCTACAGCCTTTGCCCTTTCTCAAAGAACTAGATTTGAGACTCAATCCTGTTGTAAGAAAAGACACAGACTATAGGCTTTTTGCTGTGTACACACTACAAACTCTGGAAAAACTGGGTGAGACCCTCCTCCTCTGCTCCTTCCCCAGAATCTTACTTGAAATCAGCTGCCTCTTAACCTTTTGGACGTTGGCCCAGAGTCTGCACTGGCAGGAGACATTTGTTTATTAGTCAATATTTATGTAACTCTTTGTGTTGGCAGGATGTATGACAAGCCCATTTATTGTTTATTCAACAGCCATCTATGATTATATCAGTTACTTCCAGCTTTAGCTTTCTTCAGTTGATGGTTTCACCACCACTTCCTCTTCAACACAGTATTTCCAGGTTGAGACTTACTTTTCCAGGTGCTCCAACTTTGTAACTATATTAGCAATAGAATACAAATACAACAATTCTTTGGAGGCTTAGTTGGCAAGGAACAAGAGATATCCCTTCAAATGAGTGGCTCTGTATTTCCTTATAATTTTATTGTTTAGTATACATTTCGTGATATAAAATTCGATTTCACATGGTCCTAGGAAAGTCACTGTAGGGAAAGTAAGTGAACTCTTTCACAAAGTGATAAAACTTTCAGCCTTAGAATGGGACCATTTCCTGTTCAAGTTCCCCTTTCCTGGAGGGGTAGTTACCCTGTGTAACAGTTGTTGCTATAGTGTCCCTGCGTCTCCCTGAGTTACTGGTTGCTCCAGTGACAACATAATAGCATTGTTGTGACCTGTCTCTAACACACAAAAATGAGATTGCTCTTTAGTTTTTTCTCTGTAAATGTGGTTCTCTGACCCACTACTATTCATTCCAAAAAACAAACATGTTTAGACCATGGTTTTTGCCTCCAGATGATCGAACTGTACGTGACAGTGAGAGGAAAGCTGCCAAGCTCCATTTTAGTCAGTTGAGCAACAGTGAAAATTTTCTTTTAGAGGTGGAAAAAAGGTAAGATTCTCTACCAAAAACCTGTTTTTAGTTTGGTTCTGGACATAGGTCATAATGAATTTCTTCTTAACTTTCCTCATTTCCTAGCAGAAATTTCCCACAAGTTGTAACACTTTGCAGATTTTTATTTTGAGACAGGGTCTCCCTAAGCCTCTAAATTGCCCAGGCTGGGCCCAGATTTACCATCTTCCTGCCTCAGCCTCCCAAAGTGCTGGGATTACAGGTGCTCATCCCCCCCTGTCCGGCTCATTTCTGCTTTCTTTAATTACTGCTTTGGGTATAATTGTTGTAAATTTTTCCAGGGTTGATTCTCACAGCTTACAGATGAGGACAGTATGCAGTGACTTAACCCATAAATGTTTACCAACACTTTCTTGTAGAACTGTCAGTATGGTCTTTTCCTATTGAATAATTATGTTACATTCCCAGGACATGACTATTAGAGATAAATTTATCAAAGGAAGACTAGGAAAGTGGTTCTCTATAATTCAAAAAGTAAGCAGATCCTTTCTGTGTCCTGAGAATTTTCATTCAAAAGAAAATATCTTACTCCCTCAATCAGACTGAATTTTCTGTCAAGAAAGCAGAGTAGCTAAGCTCTGAATTTTCTGCTTTCACACTTTAAATTCTGAATCACAATGTCCTTCTCTCTCATCATTCCCAGTATAAGTATTATAACTTAAATAATCATACTTTTAACTGAGATATTTGTAATACATGGTTAAATTGATAATCTCCTAGAGCATTTGGAAAAGAAAAGCTGATCACCATGAACAGCTGTTTCCTAGATAACATGGACTAGTGATCTCAGAAGATTTTTTTTAAATTTTAAAATAAATTCTTCTATGTGATAGCTCTAGGGAGAAGATAATGAAAAACTGTGGGACAGGTGAGGGCTGTGCATCAAAAGTCAACACTGATGTTGACACCAGGCCTGAAACAGGTAAGCTTTGTTTCTGTGATCATAAAATGATTAAGACATCAGTTGTCTCAGCTGTTATATCCAGTCTTGGGCAAGAAAAAGACAGTTAAGAAAACACAGCTTGCCAGGGATGTAGCTCAGTGGCGCTGTGCCTGCCTGGCAACCACAAAATCCTGAGTTCAATCCTGAGCACAAAAAGAGAAAGAAAGAGAAAGAAAGAGAGGGTTGTGTGTGGGGAGACGGGGCGGGGGGTGGGGGGGAGAGGGGAGAGGACAGAAAAGAAAAGAAACAGTTTGAAGCAGGCACAAGACTCACTGGATGTTTTTCTTCATTTCACTACCTGAAGGACCCTTCTGAGCAGTCATAACCAAGAACACTTCAGACTACACACTGTACTCAGTGCAATTTCATTTATATTACTTTACATCATTGGTACATCCTAAAATTATATTGCCCATCCCGACAGGCCTCTGGGCATTGCTAAGATGATTGATTTCATTAGCTAGAGACTCAGGACTTACCTCCATTTATGCAGTTCATACTCTGGGCCTCCTTTGCTTCCAACCAAGTAGCTTCCCAAGCTGCTGAACCTCTAGTGTTTGTGCTATGTTTCTGTAAGCACTGTTGGTAATCCAGTGTGATTACAGTGGTTAGGGTCCATTAGTGGTCATGCCACAAGCTAGGAGAAAGCTTTCCACCAGAAAATTCCATCCAATGCATCCTTGCAGATTAACTGGGCACACTCATACTGGTTAAATCAGATGATCTTTTACCTGAGGAAACTTTCTTCTGTCTCAAGGTCTCTGTCTCTTTGAAGGATCCATTTAATTATATGCAAAATGTAAAAATCAGTACGTTTCCTAAAATTTCAACAAAAAATTTGATTGGCTCTAGTTTAGATATCAAGGGCTTTCAGTTTATAACATATTTTATTTTCCTGACTTCAATGTACCTATGTAAACATTTATTGCCAAGTCATTTTCAGTCTTTCTACTAAAATAAGCCATAGTAAGGTATGATTTTACTTTGTGTTTCTTTGATGTCCCAGCACACATAAATGATGGAGTATGGACTGCTTCGTTTCATTTCATTTTTTTCCAGTAGCAGTGGTCAAACTCAGGACCTTGCACTTTTGAGGCAGGTGTGGCATCACTGAACTGAATCCCCGGCCCTGCTTTGTTTAATTTTAAAAAGCATTTTTTATATTTCAAAATTGATGCAATTTTTTTTTCTTTTTTCTGGTACCGGGGATTGAACTTGGGTCCTTGCGCTTGCGAAGCAGGCGGCAGAACCACTGAGCTAAATCCCCGGCCCAATTGATGCAATTTTTAATAATAATTTTGGCAAATACTGAAATGCATGAAGTACTTTTCTTTTAAAAATTAAAAAAAATTTTATTAGCATGTGTTTGCAGTACATAATGATTACATTCATTACGGGGAATTGGTGCATGTATGTAACATCTCAATTCTGAAGAAAGTATTTTATTTTATTTTTGCTTAAATTCTTTTATTGGTACATTTTAGGTATACAATACATTTACATTTATCATTGGGTGCTTGTACCTGTACATGATGTATCT